TTATCTGTCACCAGTTATCTTGCCCCAACCCTCGATTATAGATATTTGATCTAAAAGGATTTATAGACCCTAAGTCAATCCCTGAAGGATATTTGGTTATGCGGGTCTCATTGTCAATGGTCGTATTGTACTCCAGTAGTAGTACATGACAAAATTATGCTAAGTGTTTGGTCATTGGGCTATCTTTTAATAAGGTCTGGAAGACCCTGAATGTGGATTGATCTTTAAGGTGACTAATGACTCATGAATGAAGTTTGCAACTTCTATTTCTAATGCTATGCTACTCTCCAAAAGTCAATATTGACTCACATCATGTTGGTTTGCCTGAAGCAAACAAGTTGTGATTTTTTTTTTTACACATAGTAATCACTGCCTGAAAATTCTGACCGACGCAGTTTGAAAATTAAATTCGTGAAAATTACTTCTTGAACTCCTTTTGGCATGAAAGTTTTTCTGGAGAACCTAGACTCGTGGTATTTGATGTCTGTAAAAATATTTTGTTAAAAATATGCTTTGGTGATTCCAGAAAAATTAACGTTTTGGCAGTGTGCTGTCAATTATTTTTTTGCCTGGAGCAATGTTGGGAAAAATTTCAGGAAAAATACTTTTAGACCTTGGATTGCCATGAAAATTTTCGTGTACATTCTAGACTTGATGAACTACATATCTGCAAAATTTTGTGCCAAAATGTGTTACCGTTTTTTCCTATAAAATTCTGCAATCCAGGTCAAAATTCTGGAAATTTTCTGCCATTTTTCAGTTTTTATATCTTGCTATTTTGTGATGTTTTCATGCTGATATGAAACTATGAAATAAAATGAGAGCTTGCTTGGAAAAGTGCTGTTTTTGACTCCCCGAAATAGGAATGAATGGGCCCGGCAGCGAACATGTGCTCATTATTCTTCTGCGAACGGTACTTCTCTCATTTTTCTAATTTATGAATTAATAAACAATAACTCTTGTCATGTCATGTCTTGTGTGTACCAAACATGATACTCTTTATTTTATGGATGTGCATGACTCAATTGAGAGTTTGGTGTCCAAGACATAAGGGACAATTATATCACATGCTATTGCATGCTTCTCTTTAATTCTATGAGTCATTCATTAGGATGAACCTTGACGATAAATTCTTGACCAAAAATGGTCCACCTATCCCATCAATCTCGGAAGGATTGCTATGACGTTACTATGAGTCAAATTCTTTTTATCCAAGTCTAACTCAATGCATATCACAAATCAATCCCTATAGGATTGCTATACCCCCTTTTTCACCTAGTACGTGGTTTCAGAAGTAACATTTCCCTATCTGTGTTATTTTATTTGCGCAGTCTATTTGATATCACCACCACAACGTACCTCTAAAAGGGCTATCAAAGAAACCTCTGTCTATTGATTAAATACCGAAAGCCCATGATAGGGGATCAATACATATAATTGGGTACGTTGACTGCATTCCTAATGAAGATTGTTTCTCGGCATTAGGGAGAGATAATATACTACTCCGTAGTTTTTTGTAATGCCAAGAAATTTCATAAGAATAAAAACATCTTCATTATTTAAATCCATGTACTAGTTAGATTGAACTGGAAGTTCAAAAGATAATCTATTTGCGATTTTAGCAAATAATCTGCCAAATACATCTATTGATCATAATGATCATAAAAGAAGTGGCTAGGTCCTATATCCTTGGACCAAACATATCTATCGATACTCCTTGGCACTAGAAGTGTAGGAGATTTATCGGTGAAAGAGATATGGATCATAATACTAGATCTAGTAAAGAAATATCATCACTCTTGAAATAGCTTGAACAATTATGTCCTGTAGACGTTCGTCCAGATGACGAAAAACCCTAGTAAAATTTATAGGTGCACCAAACAAACATAATACTAGGCATGCGGAACGACCAGATCAAAATATCTTTGGGAAATGTTTAATTAGAATCTGGTTATTTTAGAAATTGCCATTACTTTTACAAATATGGGAGTTTTTACAAAAAGGTTATAGTTGTCGACAACACAATTGCCATTACAAATTGCTTGTTATATAATCTGGATCCAGAGTTAGGCACCAGAAGTGCCATGACTATTTAATATATAAAGGAGCAATTAAGGCATAGCTCGACTCGCTAAAATGAATAAATTCTCTTTATAACAATACAACATTTGAGCGTTAACCCTGAAGGTTACAAATGGGTGTGTGCATGAAAGAGAAATAAGAATAATGAGGTGATAAAGCGAGTTTGTAGCCTATGGGTTCACGCAGAGACCCTTAATTGATTTTAATCAAATATACTCTCCCACGGTAAATGAAATTAAGTTCCGCTACATAATACAATTGGCAGAATAATAAATTTAGATATGCAGTTAAATTTATCTTGAGAAATCCCTGATGGATTCATAATTCTCGAAATGAGGATTTTAAGTATTATTATGTGTCATTATTTACTCTTTAAAGAGTTGCGAATGGAGTTAATATCCTCATTGAAGGAATAATATGTACCATTGTGTGCTCGATAAAGGGTTGATAATGAACTTATTTATTATTTATTATCTCAGTCAAGATTGATGGTGTAAACATCAATGAAATATATAAAGAGCTTGATAATGTCAGTTCATGCTTAAAGGCTGAGACTTTTGAAATAAAAAGCTTGTGAAAGCTATAAGTATTATCTCGACTTGAAGATCGAGCTTTTCTTTGAAGTTTTCTTTTATATACACCAGTCAGCCTACATCTAAAAATGTTTTTTTTCACATGTCTATATGCATATAAGTGTCATGTTTTTATCAAACTAAAGGTTGCCTAATAATCTCTTGAAGCAGATAAGGAACCTTTTTGGACTCGAAGTCCCTTACTTCATTATCGTTGTAAGCACCATTATAGAACCAGAAGTTCCATAACCGCAACATATTTGCGATAAAATTGCTAGCAAAATCTAGTGCTCCTCCTACAAATGAAGTACTTGAATAATGATTGACATATCCTCCAGTATCTTCGAGATACAAAAACATGACATTTATGTAAGAAACCATGATACGGTTTTAATAGGCTACTTGGGTACTGGCTGTTTTTGTTTGATCCCTGCAATGCCAAGTTCAAACTGGTTATACAATACCTTTCCCTAAATGTTCAAAATGAGGACAATAATACTTGTGTTGCACAAATGTTATATGAGCTCTAGAAGAGCCATAAGATTATTAGACATTTACTCTAGTGACAATCCAGAAGATTTGTCCAATCCATTTCTTCAAATTTTTGAAATATATGTAGAACTTGAAGATTGTTATCTTCGGGGGGAGACGTGAAGTACATTTACTCGAATCAATCCGGAAGATTGAATGTGAAATCCTGAAGATTAAGTCATAAAAGACTAACAGTTGCCCACTATTTGCAACACATAAATTCATAAATATCATGTACTCTTTTCCTCACTAGTTTTCTCCCATTGGGTTTTTCTAGTGTGGTTTTTAACGAGGCATGAGTATGATATAATAATGTAAATGAGAAAATGTTACAAAATAATTGCTTCAGTCGACAAACCCCAAAATCCTGAAGATTATGCCGATTATGCCTTGAAGGCGGTTGTACTCTTTTTCCCTTAACTAAGTTTTTCCCACAGGGTTTTCTTAAGTTAAGGTTTTTAATGAGGCGACCAATACAATATATGTTTTTACATATATCATGTACTCTTTTCTTCAACTAGGTTTTTTTTTTTTCCCACGTGGTTTTCCTAGTGAAGTTTTTTTTTTTTTTTAATGAGGCATAAATGTATGCTATCCATATACCTTGTACTCTTTTCTTGTTTAGGTTTTTCCCACAGGGTTTTCCTAACAAGTTTTTAATGAGGCAAGATCGTGGTGTTATAATGTCCAAGGGGGAGTGTTATAAATCCTTATTTATGGACATTATTATGACATTGATTACTTGTTTTGTAACTGTTGTAACAGTCAATTTGTATAGAGTTATATATATGATGTATAAGGATATTATGAGATGAATACACCAGAATATTCTCCCTTGTCTCTATATTTCTTTTAACACTTATTACTTATTTCTAAATTACAATAATGTTTATAATTAATTATTATCACCTCTCCCTCCCTAAAAAAGCGTGCACCTTGTCAAAATATAGCCAATTATATAACTGAGTTTTACCACCATAAACATTAACAAACTCCACCTTTTAGTATTATTTAAAAAAAAAAAGACTAGGACAAGTGAAAACTAACCCGCCAACTAACCACCAATAAAATACTCATAGTGAGCAGATGAGCATTAAAGTACTCAACTCTACAAAGCGTATTCCTCACCAGGGGAAAATAGTCTAAGTCAGTACAGACCACGACAAAAATAAATAAGAAGTTAGAGTAATGAGCAGTATAAGAAGTAAGAACAACCAAAACCATAAAAAAAATAATAATAAAATTAAAAAAAAAAAAAAACACAACAATCCATAAAAGATCCTCCCCTCAAACAATGCATCTCCCCCTTTTTGTCATAAGAATTGACAAAGGAAACCAGTATTGCAAGACTAAACCTCCACTCTCTATAAAGGGGGTCGACACAAACTGCCATCAAATAGTAGGAGTGTCACCTCCCTCTTCACCATCCATGGCGAAGGTGTCACTGCTGGAAATCTTGCTGTTTCTGTCCAACATTTCCGTCCAACCGTAAATGGGTCGGCATTTTAATAAAAATTTTAACTTTCTGTCACTAATGAAGGGTGGACGGAAAGTTGGTCAGAATTTCCGTCCAACGCAAGAGTGTTGGGCGGAATTTCCATCCAACACTCACGCGTTGGACGAAAATAATTACGATCAATCTGTAGTGTTGGTTGGTAAATTCAAATTGATTGATGGGTAAAAATTAAAAATGTAGGCATTTTAATTTCCGTCCAACAACAATGTTGGACGGAAATTAAAATATTTTAGCTAAAATATAAAGGAATACTGGAATAGTGGACACTAAATAGAAAAGCGGGAAATATAGAACTTTGGGTGGGAAAAGGGAAGTTTGGCAATCAGCCTCTCTCTTTCTCTTGTAGACGAAGTTTTGCTATAGACCGTCTCTTTTTCAGACTTCCCGCTCCAGCTTCTCACTCTTCTCACTACTCTGCGAATCACTCTGCTCCACTCCGGTCAAATATTCTTGGCGCCATCGCGACAACCGTTCTTGCTGCAAATCTCCTTCCCGTCAAAGTCGCTCACCGGCGTCTCCGTCTCTATTGAACTACAAGTTAGTTCATTACTCAAATCTTAAACCCTAATCCCTAAATTCGTAATTTTATTTATCCCTAAATCATATTTTGATTAAGCCCTAAATCTGTATGTTTCCTTTTAATGTAATTTTATTGTTGAATTTTCTTTATTTTATTATAATAAATTTCTGATTTTATTGTTGAATTTGATTAAGCCCTAATTAAATGCGTATGGTTGCATCCCAAATTATATTGTTTTGAATGTTGTTTTAGACATATATAGTAGATTTCTATAGATTTTGAAGTTGTTAGTTCAAGTTCTTATAATGGGTCATTCTTGGATTTTGAGTATTGGGTTGTTTGTTTTGACAGTGAAGGGAAAAAGAGAAGGAAGTGTGGAGTCAGGATTCAGGAGAAGAATTCATGGGAGAAAAATGAGGGAAAGACAACATTTACATTGGTTGCTTTAGATTTTCATTGAAAACTTTGAATTTTGAACAATATATTCTTTTAAACATTCTCCTTTTGTGTAGCTTTCTTACTTTCAATATTGGGTGTTTTTTGACATGACAGTATAAGGGTGATGTAGTGGATAGATTTTGTGCCTACATGTAGTCACCATTTTGGTTTGGAGGTATTTATATAAAACTTAGTTCTATCTCGGATGAAGGAAAAACCTCTGTTCAGGTATGTATCCAATGACTTCTTCTTCATCTTTTCTTTAGGAAATGGTTTCTTTTGGGAATGGAGTAATAAAAAGGGACTTTTGTATAATAAGCACACACTTCATGTCCCCATATAGGTGATATCAAACATAATAACACCAGATAACAAGAAACTTCTAAGTATGGCATAATTAAAATGCATGAAGAATTAACAACACAATTGCATGTCTAAGATGAACTCACCGACACGCATAAGAGATGCTCTATTATGCATAATAGAGACATTTTGAATTAAATTATACTATCCTCTCCCTAATGGTTAGATTTGGTACCATTAAAAGACCCTCTTACTGCTTGCTAGGGTAGTAGATGCTTTTGAAGGTAAATACTTAGTGTCCTTAACATATTTTGAAAGGGATGCTGTGAACCATCTTTGTTTACTTACAATGAAGCCAGTCATATATGTGGCTAATGTTGCGGAGTCAGGTGTAGCTTAGCCTGAAAGCAACACTCATGTTAAAGAATTGATGAATACTGCTTACCTGATGAATATGGTATTGGCACCATGGTGTTGCAACTGAACCTGGGAGCTTCTTGATGCAGGTTGAATCAAAGCTAGCTGAACTGGCTCTAGATGAAAGGATGGAATATTTAAAATCACTTGGTGTTAATGAAAATGGCCTTGGAAATCTTATTAGGACAACATATGCCCTACTGGGTTTGAGAACATACTTCACTCCTGGCGAGAAGGTGATGTGAATAACTATGCATTACTATAAATTTTGTAAGTTCATCATATTAACATAATTGTCCTTGTATCTTACAAGAAACAATTTTGTTAGGGGGAGACAGTTTTGGTAAACTTGCATTTATCTTGCAGTGCAGATGGTTTACAATTTTGTTAAACATAAGTGTCTAATCATAATGTTTATGTAGGCATGACTGCACCTCAAGCTGCTGGAGTTATACAGTCTGAAAGGTGATTGGTTTTGGTCAGAACATGAATATCCCTAACATGTATGGGTGCTTTTGATGGATGGTGGTGCATTTCAAGTATAATTGATGAAATGCTTTATCTCAGGTTGCTTATGATGATTTTGTTGCTGCTGGATCATTTGCAGCTGCAAGAGAGAAAGGACTTGTAAGTTTGTTTTTCCAAGTGCTGCGTATGTTTTTTGTATGATTTTTTGCTTTTTGAAATCTATCACGGTCCATTTTTGGTGAAGGTCTACACTTGATCAAAGTCATTGAAGAAGAAGGCTATGGATGGTGCATTGATCAAAGCTATTGAAGTAGTGTCGCATTTGAAGGCTTATTAATTTGGGTGCAGCGAGCACACTTAAGTAGTATCAATTAAGTAGTATATATTTTCATACTTAAGTAGTATATATTTTTATGACTTTTTTTTTTTTATGAACATGATCATAATTTTTATTGAAAATAATTTTGAAGTTTAAATATATTTTCAATTTTCAATTTTCAATTTTCAATTTAGTATCCATTAATTTGTTGATGACATATAATTTATTTTCAACACGTATAAATAAAATTATGGTAATATAAAAATAATAAAACATTCCATATGATTTAAGATTTTCCTACCAACAGTTAAAAGGAAAATAACAAAAGATAATATGTGAGTTTTCCGTCCAACATTAGTTGAAATTTCCGACCAACACATGTAGTTGGATGGAATTTCTGACCAACGCACGTAGTTGGACAGAAGTTCCCACGTTTTAAAAATGGTGGGTTACTTGCCGGAATTGGCACTAAAAACAGAAACTAACTGCCAAAATTAGCTGACATGGATTGGGCAGTCGAATGAATCCGAATGTAGACACGTAAAGACACAAGCTAAGTATGTGGAGAAATATAATGGTAGCAAAGTGATGGATACAAAGTACATTAAGATTAACGCTCGCTAGCATTAGTACAGTGTCGTCATGGTTGCATACTATACGTACGTACTCACATTTATTCCCTGGCCTCAATATAAATACACACCACTCCTTCCACCCTTAATGTACAAATTACATAACAACATTATTGAGTGTAGCCTAGCTATTATATTATTGCAAATATATACCTACGTATATATAAAGAAATGGCAAAATCCTACACAATATTTGTTGCCTTTCTTTTCTGCTTCCTCATTGCGACACATACCGGTAAGTAATCGTGGCATTATATATATATGGTTTGTCAATTTGATTTTGTACGTATTATATATGTATACGTCTGCTCTAACGAACTAACTTTGTAGTTAATATAATATAATGTTATGTTGATAGAGAGTAAAGTGGGTGAAGAAAATGTGTGCGGGAGGCTAAGCAAATCGTACTCCGGTTGGTGTGATGGTGGCGACTGTTCTCTCCATTGCCGGGATGTTGAAGGTGCGGTTGACGGCTCATGTCACTGGCACAACGTTGGAATGGCTTGCTTCTGCTATTTCAATTGCTGACGATCGACTAATATCATATATATAATTCAACTTCTATGCCTGAATGTCATGTCATGATGATCTGATCTGCAATAATAACAATATAGCATAATAATCCCTCAAAGTATGAATTCAATAATACTGCATGCATGCTGCCAGCTTGCTAATTGTATTACAATGAATTGTACTTGGCAGAAAATAATAAAATAATTAATAAGAAGTGTGTCTATCTCTTTTTCAATAGCCAAAGTTTTTGGCGAGTTGGTTGTATAATATGTATGTGTTATCTTTCAAGTATTAATCTTATTGGTGTAGGGACTAGTTCGTCAGTGACTCTATCAATAGTATTGACCTACACCTATCTAATTTGCCATAATATAGCCAATTATATAACTGAGTTTTACAACCATAAACACTAACAAACTCCACATTTAGCTATTGTTTTGGCAAAAAGATCGACTAGGACAAGTGAAAACTAACCGGCTAACCACCAATAAAATACTCATAGTGAGCAGATGAGCATTAAAGTACTCAACTCTACAAATCGTATTCCTCACCCGAGAAAAATAGTCTAAGCCAGTACAGACCACGACAAAAATAAATAAGAAGTTAGAGTAATGAGCAGCATAAGTAAGTGATGGGGATATGGGACATGGGGGTCCATTTTATTGGAAATTATGAGGTGGTGAAGAAAGATGTTGGCCCAAGTCTTATTGGGCTAAGGGGACATGGTGGCCCAAAAAGGCACAAAAGGAGGAGAGAGAAAGGGTTTCGGGGAAGAAACCGCCGGCGGCCGGTCGGCGATGTGGCCCGGCGGCGCCCCACCACCGTGGCAGTGAAGGCCTATGGCCATGGGTAAAATGTAACAAGAAGTGCGCTGCTGCCAGTGGGTTTCGAACACAGAACCTCCCGCACAGCAAGCGCGAGTCTAACCATCAGCCCACACCATCACATGTGTACCAAGACGTGACATCATATATTTGTTCCTATAATCTCGGTCGGGCAGCCCGACCACCGGCCGGCGACTGGCCGGCGCCGGGTCCCGCCGGCCACCTCAGGCCGCGGCGCGGCCAGCGGGGGCAGTGCGCCCCCCAGATTGTCATCGGCACCCCCCCCTTCCCGAGGGGGTGCTGGGCGGGTGCGCCAAGCATGGTGGACCGGGGTGGTATGCGCGGGAGTTTTGGAAGTATGGAGAACGTGCCCACTTGTGTAGCGAAAAATGGGGAAGTGGGGATGGATTGCATGGGACACATGGACGCCAGAGGAGGAGGGGGGCTTGCTATAAATAGGGGCCCTGGATCTCTAGCTAAGGGGCAACACTCAGACACAACAGGCACACTAGTCCAGTGGTCTTGGTCTCATACTCTCAATCTAGTCACCTGGGTTTGATTCCTATCAGTAGCATAGTTAGCTATAGCCCATCTTGTGGGCCTTGTCTTTTGTATTTGGGTCGCTGTTCTTGGGCCTGTACCTCGGGCTTCTATACATATCATGTTGGGCCTAGCGCCCTACCCCCCGTTCTGTACTCGGTTTATGGTGGACCCGGTCCTAATAAAACCATCATTGGCACCGTCTGTGGGGATCGCTACGATTAGCCCGTGTTTGTAGTCTCTACCATCCTAGCAAGGTTCCGAGGTACGCCCAAATGGTTGATTCGCAAGAGGAGCTACCCTATAAGGTAACACACTTAGCATATCGAGACGCTACTCTGGTGAGTACACTTGAACACTTAGTTAGGTAAAGATTGTGTTTATTTTCCCGAACTATGTGCTCTGCATGCTTGGCCCACGGCCACCTCAACTATATGCTCATATGTGCTCTGCATGTTTGGCTCGCGGCCACCTCAACTATATGCTCATATGTGTCTGCATGCTTGGCCCGCGGGCACCTCAACTATGTGCTCTGCATGCTTGGCCCACGGCCACCTCAACCATGTGCTCCTATGTGCTCTGCATGCTTGGCCCACGGCCACCTCAACTATGTGCTCTTACGTGCTATGCATGCTGGCTCTACGGCCATGGCGGATAGGGCATGTGGGTTATCGCAACCCACATGTGCGGACTTGCCCCTGGCAAGCCGCATGGTTTTGGCGGATGGGGCATGTGGGTTATCGCAACCCACATGCGCGGACTTGCCCCCGGTAAGCCGCATGGTTTTTGGCGGATGGGGCGTGTGGGTTATCGCAACCCACATGCGCGGACTTGCCCCCGGCAAGCCGCATGGTTTTGGCGGATGGGGCATGTGGGTTATCGCAACCCACATGCGCGGACTTGCCCCCGGCAAGCCGCATGGTTTTGGCGGATGGGGCATGTGGGTTATCGCAACCCACATGCGCGGACTTGCCCCCGGTAAGCCGCATGGTTTTTGGCAGATGGGGCGTGTGGGTTATCGCAACCCACATGCGCGGACTTGCCCCCGACAAGCCGCATGGTTTTGGCGGATGGGGCATGTGGGTTATCGCAACCCACATGCGCGGACTTGCCCTCGGCAAGCCGCATGGTTTTTGGCGAATGGGGCGTGTGGGTTATCGCAACCCACATGCGCGGACTTGCCCCCGGCAAGCCGCATGGCGTTGGCGGATGGGGCGTGTGGGTTATCGCAACCCACATGCGCGGACTTGCCCCCGGCAAGCCGCATGGCGTTGGCGGAGGGGGCGTGTGGGTTATCGCAACCCACACTACCCCGTCCTGCAATCTTCAGTTACCTTCATCCTTAAAAAAAAAAAAAAAAAAAAAAAAAAAAAAGGGTTGCATGCAGGTGTAGCATGGAGAAGGAGCAAAGACATCCATTGAATATTTAAAAGAAGCATGCAGGTGCATCATGGAGAAATTGACAAAGCATACTAAATAAATGCAACAAAAGAGATGTACAGTGCAAGAAGCATACAAGAAGTGACAATAGAGGAGTCACCTTGGCCTCTCGACACTAGGTGATGAAGCGAAGGCCAGGGCAGCGTATGGTGTGTGGCAGAGGTACGGAGTATTGGCGTGACGCACAACAATGGTGATAATGGAAGGTGGCGGCGAGAGATTGAGAAAGGGAAAGAAAGGAGGTGGTGATATCGAATTCTAATTCCTTTAGGCATCAAGATACCTAAAAGAACTGGGGGACTTGTGATGGGGATATGGGACATGGGGGTCCATTTTATTGGAAATTATGAGGTGGTGAAGAAAGATGTTGGCCCAAGTCTTATTGGGCTAAGGGGACATGGTGGCCCAAAAAGGCACAAAAGGAGGAGAGAGAAAGGGTTTCGGGGAAGAAACCGCCGGCGATGTGGCCCGCCGGACTCCCGCGGCGGTGCGCCTCCGGTCGTCCCGGCGGCGCCCCACCACCGTGGCCAGTGAAGGCCTATGGCCATGGGTAAAATGTAACAAGAAGTGCGCTACTGCAGTGGGTTTCAAACACAGGACCTCCCGCACAGCAGGCGCGAGTCTAACCATCAGCCCACGCCATCACATGTGTATTAAGACGTGACAGCATATATTTGTTCCTATAATCTCGGCCGGGCAGCCCGACCACCGGCCGGCGACTGGCCGGCGCCGGGTCCCGCCGGCCACCTCAGGCCGCGGCGCGGCCAGCGGGGGCAGTGCGCCCCCCAAATTGTCATCGGCACCCCCCCCCCTTCCCGAGGGGGTGCTGGGCGGGTGCGCCGAGCATGGTGGACCGAGGTGGTATGCACGGGAGTTTTGGAAGTATGGAGAACGTGCCCACTTGCGTAGCGATAAATGGGGAAGTGGGGATGGATTGCATGGGACACATGGACGCCAGAGGAGGAGGGGGGCTTGCTATAAATAGGGGCCCTGGATCTCTAGCTAAGGGGCAACACTCAGACACAACAGGCACACTAGTCCAGTGGTTTTGGTCTCATACTCTCAATCCAGTCACCTGGGTTCAATTCCTGTCAGTAGCATAGTTAGCTATAGCCCACCTTGTGGGCCTTGTCCTTTGTATTTGGGTCGCTGTTCT